TTTAAAAAGGAAAAAATCTTTTGCATACTTAAAAAAAAAATATAATAATTGAAAGTTAAAAAAAAAAAAAAAAAAATAATTTTATTTAAAAAAAAAAAAAATTTTTTATTTTTCTTTTTTAAAAAAAAAAAAAAAAAAATGAAATAAAATTTTTTGATAAAATTTTATCTATAAATTATTATTATTGACTTTTAAAAGTGTATTTGAAACTTGGGAACTTGAAACTTGTCGTAATTGATTGCATTCTTTAGATTATTGAAATTCAGGGTTCTTTTTACAGAATGTACAGTGATAAAAAAAAAACTCTTAATACATTGTGTCACCTATTTCATTATCATAATTCATTGCACATATAAGGCTGTGTCATTAGTTATGTTCATATGATTTATTTAACTAATTTATCATAATTAAACTGTTATATTACGTTATATTTTTAACGATAAATACTGAGTCACGAAAAATTTTACTCTCGTCGGATTTTCTTAAAAAAATGCCTACCGGTATATACCACTTTACCACTTTCAGTTATTTAATTATCTTTTTACAAATAACATGATGGTAATATAATACGTAATAGAATACAATAATAGTATGGTTAAATTAAATTACATATTGTTGGTTTTTTTTTTTTCCCAGACTAGGCACGTGTAATCTAAATTACCAGGAATTTTTTTTTTTTTGAAATCTTTATTTGTTTATAACAAAAAAGAAAAAAAACGCCAAAATTCTTGTGGGGAAGAAAAGGGGGCTGAAATACAATGTTACATTTTTAAACAATACCATTGGAATAAAAAGAATTCGTAAATTAAAAAACACCAATAATATCATTTAAACCAAGAAATCTTTATTTATTATTTATATCGAACATATACACATATTATACATTTATATCGTTATTTTTTTTTAGGTCTGAAAAAATGATGCTGCATTGTATATTATAATCGCGATCAAAATTTGAACAATTAAGATATTGACAAGTAGTAATTCGCGAGAACGTAAAATTAGGAAATAATTTAAATGAGATAATTAAATAAAAAAGTTACGTATAAAAGTTGAAAAAAAGATTACCATTAATAAAAAAAATTTTTTTTTTTCTTAACTAAAACTCTATGTTGTTTTTTTTTTTAACCGTTCAATAATTACATTATTTTTTAAAGTATGCAAAAGTATATTGCCTTTTCAAAAAAAAGTCTATAAATGTAAAGAAAAAAGATGATGAATATGGAAATTTTTGTATTATTACGTATAATAATTTTTTTTTTAAAAAAATAAAATAAAGAAATCTGTTCTATGTTGCTTAATTTGAATTACTTAAAATTTTTTTGGTTTAAAAATGCTTATGATATATATCTTGTTATTTAATTGAAAAGGCATCTGAAATAAGATGATAATAATTGATATCGAATATATAATGAATAAAGGAGATAAAGGAGATAATAAAGTAAAGGATGTGTAATATTACGAAAAAAAAACCTAAGTCTATTTTCTGTACAAAAAAAAATGCTGTATATTACAATGTGTATGATGATTTTTTTTTTTTTGTTTTTTTTTTTTTTTTTTAATATGCTAAAATAATTCCCAATCCAAGAATTTTTAAGAAGTTTTTGAGTTTATTAACTTCTTATATTTTTCTTTTAATTTTAATCCTGCAAATTTATTTTGCTTCCCCCGAGTACCCTTTGGTAAATTACTGTTTCGGAAGACACCTTTGTTAAAAACTTGGTCACCTGGACTTGATGGTTCCGAATAATCTTCCTGACAACTTTCACTTTCACTTGATCTCAATTCAACATTTCCAGCTTCAACCAAGAATTGAGCAAAGCATGATCCATGCATTAATTCAAATACTTGATTGCTAGCAACATCCAATATTGATGGATCATAATTATTATAAGAAAATACATTTGTTAATAAATCTTCACGAACAGAAGATTCAATATTAATCTCTTTTGGAGAGTTTGGTAAGATAAAAGTGGTAATGATTTCAAAAAGTTTTTGTTTAAGGAAATCAGAATGAGCAGGAGCATCACCACGTAGAGGAGCATCATCATATAAGACATCGGAAGATAGAAGTGATAATGTTGAAGAGTTTGGTGTTAAGAGGTCAGGAGAAGTAGAGCTTGAATTATAAAAATTGTAACTGGAATATTTGTATGAACGAACGGCCAACCAGAATTCTAAGTTTTCGACACAATAAGTCTGATCTAAAAATGTAGCAAAATCATCGAAAGAATATGGATATGATGTCTCATTGTTGAGAACATCGACAAGTGATGGTTTCGTGGTTGTTATTTGGTGGGCCATTTATTATAAATTTTCTTTAATATACTAATAAAAGGTAAATAATCTTTTGATATTTCGGTGTATCTCGATATGAGTTTCGACACTAGTTTATTTTTTTTTAAAAAAAAATATACTTCAAGTAATTATTTTATTATTTTAAAAAAATTAATTTTTTTTTTTTTCGAAAGAAAAAACTGTTGAAAATAAAAAACTAGAATGATGGGGGGTTTATATAATTATAAAAAAAAAAAAAAAAGGGGCTGTGCTAATACGGTAATAGATATAGGAATGCGTTAAATAACGGTATACATTAAAATAAACTCAAATTAACAGTATAAAAAAACGTGCATACAAATAAATAATTATTATTATATATATAAAAATATATCGAATATGTATATTATATAATTATAATTATATAAACCATATCAGTTAATTTGAATACGTATTTTTCTTATAAATGAAAAAACTATAAATCCAAATATAAACATTTTTTTAACAAAATAAAATAACTCGAACTATTAATATAAGGACAGGGTGTGATGCAAGGTTACGACAAAGGAAAAATCTTTCATCATTTTAACAAAGAAATTCTCAGAGTGGAAAGTATCACAACCAATCATTATAAAAATTTTCATAAAGAGTATTGGTCATTTTTTTCGGGAATGAGTATAATATGTGTAATAATGTTTGATACGAGTTTTTAACCTATAAAAATACGTAATATTATTAGAACATTTATGAAGTGTAACATGTTTTATTCGGCGTATTACTCAGTTCTGACTCGGGATAACTAATTTACCCAAGTTTATAAGTTATAAAAGAAGTCTAGGTTTTCAGTATTACATTACAAATCCAAGAATGAACTAGACCGAATGATTATTAACGGAGTTAATTTGCCACGATTTTTTTTTGCAGAAAAAATTCATTACATACCTTTGTGAATCCAGTTCATGGCCAATCATTTCAAAAGAAAACAAAGGGAATTTATAAACTTCATTGTTCTTTTGAACCCTAGGTTTTTTTTTTCGCTGATTTTCATAAGCTATTTCCTAAATTTGACCTTTTGTCTTCTTTACTTGATTATAACCATCGATAATACGTATAACACATATATATATATATATATATATATATATATATCGATATATCCATTACCAAAAGTACATAATGCTAAGAAAATAAGAAAATTAAAGATTTATCGTTTATTTATTCGCGTAATAATTTGTTTAATAAATTTGTTAAAAAAATTTATCGTTTACTTATTCATTAATTAATAAATAATTAAAGATTTATCGTTTACTTATTTATTAATATAAATTTATTAATATAAATATTTTGTCAGGAGATTTCCTGATTACAATAAATGAATTGTATTAATGTTAACGAAAGAACGTTAACTATTAAAAAATTTCAGGGGATTATGCATTATTTTTTTTTCAAAAAAATAGAAAACTTTTGTAATATGTGTGTTTGTTATTGTTATTTGGCGTGGATAGTGGCACGTTCTTTTTCTTGTGAATCAAGGCTTAACGAATAAATATTTTTATAGGGTCCGTTCTTTCAAATGCCATTTTTAGTAATTCTTCATCTGGCTTAATGGCTTTGATATTTTTTATTATGTTTATTTATTTGTTTTTTGAGTTCACGTTTAGATGGTCTGCGCGTAACAATCAGGTGAATCAGGTGGCGAGAAAAAATTTTTTTTTTTTTCACAAATAAAATCGCAATATCGATATTACATCATTATTTCTTAACATAAATATTACTAAATATCACAGCCATCATCCTATCTGCTATATTACGACAAATATACGTACATATATACGTAAGTATGTATCCCTTGTTTCAGGGTACACTAGACAATACTATCTTTTTGTATAGACAATCGTTTTTTTTTTTTTGTTTGCTAACACGATTTCCCATTTATGCATGTAAATGAATTGTTAGCTATTATTGAATGATTACTATATTGAATATGCTCAATTACGTTAACATGTTAAGATTTCTTTCGTTCTTCGAGATTCGAGATACGCAAGATCTACTTAATCTTAAGCCCCTTTACTTAAATAATATAGGATAAAAGATTATAAGATTTCTAGGTTTTTTTTTTTTTAAAAAAAAAAAAAATAATAATTAATTTTTTTTTTTTTCTAGTTTAGTAAAGTAACACCACAAAGTTTTTTTTTTTTTTTTTCTTCACCGAAATATTTACCAAATACGTATTTTATCATCTGATTTTCATGTTAATGTTTTTTTTTATACACGTAATATTTAAGAGAAACTTGAAACCTTTTTGCGGAGTATCCACAAAAAAAACAAATCGAGAATCTAATTTTAAAATTTTGTTACGAGCCACACAAGTTGATTATTACCATAATTGAACTTTCATTATAAGCTAAAGTTTTACTGAATTTAGAAATCTCTAAACTATTATTATTTTTACCACCTGACCAATCACTTTATTAACAACTAATGCTAAGAAAAATTAATGGCTGAGTTAATTGTTAAAAAAAGCTAATGATAGTGAATACTGTGAAACAAAGCTATTGTTATAAATGCATTTGATACGTAATACAGTAATATACAGTAATAATATTATACAGTAATACTTATGTATTTGTGTCATACTTTTTTCAAAAGGTCTAAGCGTTGAAGTGGTCCAAGTGGTAACTGGCTTTAAAGAATAATTAATATTGGTTTCAAGTTAACGCGTGTTATCATATGTAATACTTGCATTGAAAATGTAAGAGTACGTATGTAAACACTTGAGGAAAAAAGAGATACGTAGAAAAAAATAGCAAAATTAAATTCAGTATCACGTGTCAACATCTTTGCCAGTTTTTATACGTATGTACTGTACGTATTATATATCAGATATGCAAGTTCTGAAAAATGTAGAAATTGGGAAACTAATAAGATGAGATTAGATCTAAAAGAAAACTTTTTAATTATGCTTTTGCATTACGAGATTTGCTTTTTCAAAAAAAATCATTTAACAATTGTAATTTCATTCAATTAATCGGAAATTTTCCGTTTTTTTTTTTTTCATTACAGCATTATGTAAGTCAATGGCGTCTAAATCCCGAAGGTTTTTCCTTATCTCGAAAAAAAAAAATTTATTTGTGTGATCATCTTTTCATACTTGATACCTGATACGTCCGCCCCGCAATTTTTTTTTTTTTTTGTTAATAAATATTTACATAAAAACAAAAAACAATAAATGATTAGCTAATTAAGAAATTTTCACTTTATCATTATAAAAAAAAAAAAAAAAAAAAAAAACAATCCCCGCATTTTTCATCCAAAGATGTTTGCATGTGTGTTAGGGCCACATGAAATGGCAGAAGGACTGGTGCGAGAAAAAAAAAAACAATAGCTTTACTTAAAAGAATAGATTTACATCTCTATAACCAAGAATGATCTCATATTTTCATTGCACAAACATTTACTATTACTTATTTAAGTTGTTGATGATCTAATCTATTTGGTATTTAATTTTTCTCACCAAAAATTCTAGACTTGGCTTTTTAAATGCATCCGAGTTTTCGATGAGTAAAAATTACAGGTAAAATGGTGTAATGAGAAACGTTAAAAATTTACAATAAGAAAGTGGTTTAAATATGACGTTCATGTATGTATGTGCGTATTATACTTTACGTACTGTCTCTTACTTACTTAAACTAATCCAATATCAGAAGTTTTAAAGGCTCTTTTAAGGATTTTAACTTTTTATAATTATGTTATTTGTGTTGGCATTTTTTTTTTTTTTTGACTAAAATTTTTTGAGTAAATGTGCTAGAATATAGTGAGTAATAATTAATATAGTAGGTAATAATTTAAGGTGGAAAAATGTCATTAAATCAATATTATATCATTCGACTTTATATCATTCGACTTTATATCATCCGACTTTATATCATCCGACTTTATATCATCCGACTTTATATGTTTTAATTAATCAACTGCTATGTATTAAAATAAAAGGTTTTAAACTTTATTACGTATTATAATGTATAATGCCAAAAAAAGACTGCAAATTCATTTCTCTCATAATTATAATGTCTTAAATAGAGTGATACCTTAAATTAAATTATCTAGTCCCTGTTTTTTTTTTTTTTCGATCATGAAATACAGAAATAGATTTGTCAACTTAGGGCGTTCACTGATCATTCATTGATAGTGTAGGCCTGCATTGCATCATTCATCGTGACGTGATACACAATTGCATATTATCATTTTTAGATACTTGAATAGTCGTACTGTAGTACAAATAAAAATAAACTTTGAAATTTAATTGTTCCAGTTAGAAATAATAGAATACGAGGATGTTCTACGTATAGAATAGGTGGGCAAACTCCGCTAAAACTCCGCTGAATATATTAAAAAATTAATGGTTACTAATCATTAGCGAATCTTATTTCTTATATTGCCTACTTTTTCTATAAAACATCCGAATACGATTTAAAAAAATTTATTTAAAATTTTTTTTTTTACAATTTACCATGATTTACGTTTAAACTATTATTTAAAAAATTGGTTTAGACATTTTTAAACACCTCTCTTAATGGGTTTACTGGATGATCTGATTGGTAAAAAAATTGATCATGCTTGTTATTTAAGTTAAAATTAATAGTAATAGTATTAATTTTTTTAAAATTATTTAATTAATAAAGTAAAATAGTAATCTATATATAGATATTGTACTGCTATTTATTAGCTGCTATTTTTCCACTAAAAGGCTACTTCTTTTCTACCTAATAATAAATCTAAGCTTCTAATTAGTCAAAAATAATATAATTTTTAAATTTTAAATTTTAATAAAATTTTTAATCTAATATATTTTTGTTTATTTTATTTTATTTTATTTTATAATTTAGATAATCTTGCTTTTTATTTATTAAGAGAAAATATATACAATATTATAACAACTATATAAATTAATTTAAACTAGCTCTAGATACTCAAATATAATCTGTTGCACAAGTAATTTTCTTCTTAAAAAAGTAATTTGTCTAAGT